TTAATTATTATAAATGACTTAATCTCATTACTGTATAGAATTCCACAATTCATTCTTTCCATGCCATTATTTACTAATGCATTCTATTGTCTAAAGGCATTTATATAGTTACCACTTTTTACAAAGGTAGTGCCATCAAAGTTGTTATTCATGTATTTTGGAGAAAATATGCACATATTTCTGTTGGGAATAAGTGTAGGAGTATAACAGCAGGATCCCAGGAATAAACATGTCAGTTTCAGTAGACATTGCCATTTTGACAAACTGGTTACTGACTCATAATTCATCAACAGAATGGAAAAATTTCAATTGCACCATATCCTAACCAACACTTGGTATTTTCTGTCTTTTTTATTTCAACAAGTTTTGGTGGTGATTTTCATTTCTCTAATGGCCAATGAATTGGATGATATTTTCCTACAATTATTGGTGTTTGGATGTCCTTTTTTGTGATGCCTCTGCTACAATTTTGTTGTATTATGCTGTCGCTTTTGTCCTTGCTGACTCGCAGTGTTCTTTACAAATTCTGGGCATGAGAAATCCTCCTTGAATCCATCAACTGAAAATATTTTCTCCCATTTTTCCAAATGACCAAACAACTACACAATATAAGATGAGGACAAGGAAAACCCTGTGAAACAGAAAAGACCAAGCCATTTAAGAAACCAAGATCAATGAACAAGAATTGCACTCAGAAATGCACCGTAAGCAAGAAAAGACATTAAAAAAGAGTGAACAAAAAGAAAAAAGTTTTTGTTTGTTTTTTTGTTTGTTTGTTTTTAAGAAGCAAGCATTAACCTAGGTGTTAAGATGCCTGCTTTGTACCCTGGAGTACCTAGGTTGAATTCCAGCATCAGTCATTGTAAGCATTTGGGGAGTAAACCAATAGGGGAGAGCTGTGTTTCTTTCTCTGCTTTTCAAATAAACAGTAAGTTTATAAAGATCTTTTGAAAATTAGGAAAAATTCAAGTGGCAATCAAAAGAGATGTGACATGCAGATAGCTGGGGTCTTTGGAAAAAATGAAACAAAAGCTTAAGAAATATGATACAAGGCTGGCGCCTCTGCTCACTAGGCTAATCCTCCGCCTGTGGCGCCAGCACACTGGGTTCTAGTCCCGGTCGGGGCTCCAGATTCTGTCCCAGTTGCTCCTCTTCCAGTCCAGCTCTCTGCTGTGGCCCGGGAGGGCAGTGAAGGATGGCCCAGGTCCTCGGGCCCTGTACCCGCATGGGAGACCAGGAGGAAGCACCTGGCTCCTGGCTTCAGATCGGTGCAGGGCACCAGCTGCAACACACCGGCCATAGCGGCCGCTGGGGGGATGAACCAATGGAAAAAGGAAAACTTTTCTCTTTGTCTCTCTCTCTCTCTCACTGTCTAACTCTGCCTGTCAAAAAATAACAAAAAAAAAAAGAAGAAAAAAGAAATATGATACAAAAAAAAATTGACCCTGAGAAGGAAAAAGAGTAAAATACTACTACCTGGGCACTTGATTCATAGAAAAAATACTGATCCCAAATTATTAAAAACCTGGAAAAATGCTAATAAAAATTATTAGACTTAAAAGAAAGTATCCTTTTAGCATCCATACAATGAAAAAAAAAGTGAAATCATTTATAAAAAAAAAAAAGTTAAGATCATATCAGCATCAGATTACTTGACTACAGCAGGCAACTGCACAAGAGTATGACAACTATAAGGTATTCAAGGAAAAGATAAATAAAAATAAAAAAAGCAAAAACCAAGACCTTTACATCCATCAAAGCTGTTCAAACCCAGTTATAAAGATGTCAGTCAAAAATATGTTGAACTCTAAAGAGGGGGAAGTATTTTTCATGAATCTTGAGGAAAGAACTAAAGGGTAACTTCAGCTAACTTCACTGAAAAAAAAAAGAGTGGAGACTAGAAGAAAGAAAAGACTAGAGAATGACAGTGATGGGGAGGGTGGGAGGGACGAAGGGGGGAAGGAAGGGAATATTCTCAGAGGTGTATCTATGAACAACATTGACTCTCTTCTCTTTGTATTAATATTATATTAACATGAAAAACTAAAGTGTCAGAAAGAGAACTAGTGAATACAAACTTCAATAAAATATTTAAAAAAATTATCAGAAAATAATCTGACTTGTGATTTTAAAGGGAATGTTTATATTTAACTTCATTATATAAATATCCTGTAGACAAATGGTGGCATTTTCAATCAGGTAAAGAAATTGTTTTCTATTCTAATGCACTATGAATTTTTCCATCATCAGTTGTTGCTGACTTTGTAAAAGTTTTCTCTGTACTATCTGATATGAATTAGCAATATTTAGGATGAACTAAAGATCTCTTTATCTTTACATTTTAGTATTGAAGTGTTGTGTTCTTTTGAGGGTGTAATGTTGTATTCCTTATTCTTGTATCTTGAATTGCTACATTAATTATTCAGCATTTTGGAGATACTTGTTGGTTTCTTTTTTGCTTTGTTTTTCCCTGTGATGGTTTATATCTTCAGAATATGCTCCTGTGGCTTAGTGGAGTGTCTGCTTTTTCAGTGAATACCCAGAGGTGTATGGTGGGTGTGGCCAAGGAACTCTGCTCAGTGCTCCAGGGTGAAGGGAGTTTCCAAGGTGACACAAAGGTTGAGTGTGGTAAATCTATTTTCTTTTACATCACAATGAGCTTTGTTTTATTCTATTGACATAGCCTCACACTCACCACCTCTCCTCAATGGAGAGCAGTGCTTGGGTGCTAGCCCTGATGGGTACATTATTCATCCATGCTGCTGCAAGAACCACACAAAGGATCTGTGCAATCCTCAGTGTAAGCACAGATCGCACAGCCATGACCCTCATCAGGGAATCAGGGAGCCCCGAGCACGTGGAGCCACCCACAATGACTGCCGGATGTCCCAACCACATGCTGCAGTCTCCCATCTAGCCACAGTGTTTTCATGTTCGGGGTGCACAAGCCTCTTACAGTCATGAGCACCCAGCCTCCTATCAAATCTCCCAGTGAGACTCAGGCATCTCCGCTCAGCTGGTTGCTTAGTTCACAGACATGAGCTGGCACAGCTGTTACATGTGTCCAAAATGGCACCTGCGCTCTCTTGGACTGTTATAGGATGCTGGTGTTTAAAGATGGCAGAAAAGGGAGGGAGCTTACTGCTCTAGTCTAGGGGAAGATAGTATAAAGAAAGTGGAAAGAATATAGTCTCAGTTGGGGGAAAACAGCATAGGAAACATCAGACAAATTAGAGGGAAAATGTGAACCTACATGGAGGGTGTGGATGCTCACAAATCAGGACCCTGGCAGCTGAGAGTCTCAGCACCAAATGTGGAGAGTAAAGTAAGACCAGACTGCAGCAACTCAATCCACTGGCAATAAAGCTGTGGGAAGAGCCTGGCACAAGTCCAGCTTGGAGCCCTGTAGGGAACAGAGTATCGACCAAACTAGAGAAAAAAAAAAGAGGCACATTTCTCTCTCCCCAACCACCCAGTACCAAATCCATGAACTAAGGAAATCTATACCTGACATGAAAGAAAATTTCTCCCATGAAATTGAGAGATTAAAGAGAAATCAAACTGAAATCCTGGAAAAGAAGAATTCAAAAGAATAAAAATTTGGTGCAAAGCCTTAATAACATAGCTAGTGAGGCAGAAGAAAGAATACCCAAGTTAGAAGACAAATTGCTGGAAATTTTACAGTCGAACAAAAAATAAGAAATTTAGAAAATTTAAAAAACAGTTTTGGAGATCTATGGGATACCATTAAATGACCCAACCTATGGGTCTTAGGATGAGAATGGATTAGAAGGCCTTTTTAGTTAAATAATTACAGAAAACTTTCCTAATTTGGAGAAAGGGACATCCAATTACAGGAAGCACATAGAACTGCTAATAGATATGACCAGAAAAGATTTATACCATGACACATTGTAGTTAAACTCTCCACAGTAAAACACAAAGAAAAGAACCAGAGGATCTCCAATTAGACTCACAGTTGACTTCTCATAAGAAACCCTACAGGCTAGGAGAGAATGGCAAGATATATTCTAATCCTTAAGAGAAAAAAACTGTCAACCCAGAATACTGTACTCTACAAAGCTATAATTTATGAATGAAGGAGAAATAAAGATATTCCATAACAAACAGAAGTTGAAAGAATTTGTCGCCACTCATCTAGCCTTACAAAAGATGCTTAAAGATGTGCTACACACAGAAACACAGAAGCATGATCATCACTATGCAAAAAGATGAACTCAGAGAATCTCCCAGTAAAAGTACAAAGGAAATCCAGAGTAAATTGTAGGACTATTTATGGGAAAATGGTAGGGCAAAGTCATTACTTATAAATAGTCACCTTGAATGTAAATGACCTCACCTCTCAGTTAAAAGACACAGATGGGCACAATGGATTAAAAAACAAAATACATCTATTTACTGCCTACAAGAAAGACATCACACCAACAAAAATACTTGCAGACTGAAAGTGAAAGGATGGAAAAAGATATTCTATGCTAACAAAAAAAGAAAGAAAGAAAGAAAAAAAGATGGTGTAGCCATCCTATTATCAGGCAACAGACTTTAACACAAAAACTGTTAAAAGAGACAAAGAAGGACATTATGTGATGATTAAGGGGTGAATTCAACAGGAATATGTAACTATTATAAATGTATATGCAGTGAATTACAGGGTATCTGGCTATTTAAAACAAATTGAAATGGATCTAAAGGGAGAGAAAGGTTCCAATACAATAGCAATGAGGGACTTTAGTACCCCACTTTCAGCAATGGACAGATCAACAAGACATAAAATCAGGAAGGAAACTACAGAGTTAAATAACACTATAAACCAAATGGACCTAATAGATATCTACAGAACTTTTCAGTCTACAGTCACAGAATATACGTTCTTCTCAGCAGTGCATGGACTTTTCTCTAGTATTGACTAGTATTCTCTAGTATTGACATGCTAGGCCATAAAGCAAGTCTTAGCAAATTCAAAAAAATAGAAATCATACCATGCATCTTATCTGACCACAATGTTCAGCATCCTATTGAATGGAGAAAAGTTGGAAGCTTTCCCACTGAGATCCAGAACCAGATGAGGATGTCCACTTTCACCACTGCTATTCAATATAGTCCTGGAAATTTAGCCAGAGCCATTAGATAAGAAAAAGAAATCATGTACTCTATAGAATACTATACAGCAATCAAAAACAATGAAACCCAGTCATTTGCAACAAGATGGAGGAGTCTGGAAAACATTATGCTGAGTGAATTAAGCCAGTCCCAAAGGGACAAATATCATATGTTCTCCCTGATCGGTGACAACTAACTGAGCACCAAAGGGGAAACCTGTTGAAATGAAATGGACAATATGAGAAACAGTGACTTGATCAGCTCTTGTCCTGACTGTTGATGTACAATGTAATACTTTATCCATTTTAGTATTTTCTCTTTGTTTTGTTCTAGTACTATTGGTTGAACTCTGTGATTAACACACAATTATTCTTAGGTGTTTAAGTTTTAACTGAAAAGTGATCCCTGTTAAATATAAGAGTGGGAATAAGAAAGGGAGGAGATGTACAATTTGGGACATGCTCAATCAGACTTGCCCAAAATGGTGGAGTTAGAAACATGCCAGGGGATTCCAATACAATCCCATCAAGGTGGCATGAACCAATGCCATCTCACTAGCCCAAGTGATCAATTTCTGTTCACAACTGATCACATTGATAGGTCTAGGAGTCAAAGGGATCACACAAACAAGACTAGTGTCTGCTAATACTAACTGATAGAATTAAAAAGGGAGAGAACGATCCATCATGGGAAGCGGGATACACAGCAGACTCATAGAATGGCGGATGTCCTAAACAGCACTCTGGCCTCAGAATCAGCCCTTAAGGCATTCAGATCTGGCTGAAGAGCCCATGAGAGTATTTTAGGCATGGAAAGCCAAAACACCCTGGAAAAAAAAAAGGAAGACCTAAATGGAAGATCTCAGCAAGTGAGATCCCAGTGGAAAGAACGGGGAGATCAAAGAAGGAGGTAGCTTTCTCTGAAGGGAGGAGAGAACTTCCACTTTGACTATGACCCTGTCGGAATAAGATTGAAGTCAGCGAACTCAAAACGCTTCCATAGCCTTGACAACTCATGACTAGAGCATAGGGAGATTACTGACACCATAAATAAGAGTGTCAAATTGTTAAGTCAACAACAAGAGTCACTGTGTACTTACTTCTCATGTGGGATCTGTCCTTAGCGTGTTGTCCAATGTGAAGTAATGCTATAACTAGTACTGAAACAGTATTTTACACTTTGTGTTTCTGTGTGGGTGCAAACTGATTAAATCTTTACTTAATATATACTAAATCAATCTTCTGTATATAAAGAGAATTGAAAATGAATCCTGATGTGAATGGAATGGGAGAGGGAGTGGAGATGGGAGGGGCGTGAGTGGGAGGGAAATTATGGGGGGGAAGCCATTGTAATCCATTAACTGTACTTTGAAAATTTATATTTACTAAATAAAAAATTAAAAAAAAGAAAAAGAAATCAAAGGGATACAAATTGGAAAGGAGGAAGTAAAAAAGAACCCTATTTGCTGATAACATGATTCTATATATAGAGGGGATCCAAAAGACTACACATTAAGACTATTGGAATTCATAGAAGAGTTTGGTAAAGTGGCAGGATATAAAATCAAACACAAAAATCAACAGCCTTTGTAAACACAGAAAATATGTTGGTTGGGAAAGAATGTCTATGATCAATCCCATTTACATTAGCTACAAAAAAATCAAATAACTTGGAGTAAATTTAACCAAGATGTCAAAGATCTCTATGATGAGAATTATAAAACATCAGAGAAAGAAAAGAAGATACAAAAAGTGAAAAAATCTTCCATGTTCTTGGATTGGAAGAATCAATATCATCAAAATGTCCATTCTTCTGAAAGCAATTTACAGATTCAATGTGATACTAATCAAAATACCAAGGACATTCCTCTCAGATACAGAAAAAATGATGCTGAAATTCATATGGAAATACAGGAGATGCCCCAAAAAGCTAAAGCAATCTTATACAACAAAAACAAAGCCGGAGGCATCACAATACCAGATTTCAAGATATTTTCCATGATAGTGATAATCAAAGCAACCTGGTACTGGTACCAAAACAGATGGATAGACTAATAGGACAGAATAAAAACTCCAGAAATCAATGCACACATGTATAACCAACTTATCTTTGAGAAAGGAGATAAAATAAATTCCTGGATCATGGACCACCTCTTCAACAAAAAGTGCTGAGAAAACTGGATTTGCACATGCAGAAGTACAAAGCAAGACCCCTACTTTATACCTGACACAAAAATCCACTCCTTCTATGACGGCCCGTTTTTTCCACTGGGATCTCACTTGCAGAGATCTTCCATTTAGGTCTTCCTTTTTTTTTTTTCCAGGGTGTTTTGGCTTTCCATGCCTAAAATACTCTCATGGGCTCTTCAGCCAGATCTGAATGTCTTAAGGGCTGATTCTGAGGCCAGAGTGCTGTTTAGGACATCCGCCATTCTATGAGTCTGCTGTGTCCCACTTCCCATGTTGGATCATTCTCTCCTTTTTCATTCTATCAGTTAGTATTAGCAGACACTAGTCTTGTTTATGTGATCCCTTTGACTCTTAATCATATCATTATGATCAATTATGAACTGAAACTGATCACTTTGACTAGTGAGATGGCATTGGTACATGCCACCTTGATGGGATTGAATTGGAATCCCCTGGCATGTTTCTAACTGTACCATTTTGGGCAAGTCCGATTGAGCATGTGCCAAACTGTACATCTTCTTCCTCTCTTATTCCCACTCTTATATTTAATAGGGATCACTTTTCATTAACTAGAATTTTAAACACTGTGCTAAATGCTTGCCCCTCCTGTAATTATTTTTTTCCTTTGCCATAATTGAAATTATCATGCATATGCTACTCCTGAAACATTCTTTCTGTTTCCATCACAAACTTATTGATGGTTTATTCTTTTTCTCCTTGAATTCTTCTTCTTTCTTCTCACATCATCCATCCAAGTATTCATGTGCTCTCCCATTCATCCCATTCTGGAATTCTCCTTATCAGATTTGCCCTTCTGTGACCTGACAGTCCTGTTTCCCTCCAGCTTGGGCCTCCTCCACAGCCTTTTGACCATAGTTTCTATTCTGTTGATTTCTCTTTGTAGCTATCCAATGGGTACCTCACGATCAACAAGTATACAGTGAAAGGTACATCATTCATTTCAAGAATATAAAAGCACGTTGGAAAATGTTTTTCAGAGGAAGTCAGACAAACAATACTACTTCATTTCTGAATGGACTTCAAATGCTCAGTTTGGTAGAAAAGAACCCAACCTAAAGCAAAATGGAAGGATAAAGTTGCCAAAAGTAGACAGTGGAAAAAGTGCCCAAGGGAGATTAATGCTGTCATTTAAAGCCACTTAAGAGCTAATTTCCAAGAACTTAATGAAGTGTGATGTTTTCTCTTCCTATTTCTCAGGGGGAAAAATGGAAACTCCAACATTGATAAAAATATAGAAAATAGATTCTATGTAATTGCTTCTGCAACTCTCAATTCCACCCCAAAATCAATTCTACTCCCCAGAAATGATGTTTTAAACTCTCTTGAGGTATAATTGGCATGCTATAAGCTGCACATATTGCAAGAGCACTGTGCTATATTTGATGTATGTATACAACTATGAAGCTGTGACTACAGTCCCGATAATGAGCACATCTATCATTCCTCAACATTTCCTCATATTTCCTTCTAGATGTTTCCTCCTTCCTCGCATCCACTTTTCCCAAATTTCCAGCAAGCCACTGATTTAATTCCTGTTACTAGATGTTGGTTTTGCACTTTCTATAATTTAATGTAAATAGAACTGTACACTGTGTTCATTCTCTAGGGCTGTTTAACAAATTACCATAAGTCAGGTAGCTTGATAAAACAGGCGTTTGTTCTGTAACAGTTCTAGAGACCAGAATTCTGAAATCAAAATGTTGAAAGCTAGTCTGTTCAAAGGCTCTAGAAAAGACTCCCTTACCTTATGATGATTTCCAACCATCATTGGCATTACCTGACTTCAGGTAGTGTAACTCAGCTCTCTGTCTCTAACTTCACATTGGCATCTTCCCTTTGTCTCCTCTATGTCTCTAAGCATCTTCAAATCTCTCTTGTTTTAGGAGGACACTAGCCACTGGATAACACAACATGACCTTTTCCTCATTGCATATTCAAAGACCGTATTTCCAAATAACGACACAAGCACAGGTACCTGGGTGGGGAATTCAACATGTCATTTTGGAGGGCACAATTCAAACCATAATTTTATGCCTCTCAACTACCCCTAAATCCATATCTTTCCCCCACAAAAAATACATTCATTCCATCACAACATATCCAAAAATCTTAACCCATGAAGCATCAACTCTCAGTTCCAAATATCATCTAAATACCACCACCTAAAGAACTCTTCCAATTTCTCACCTCTAATTTATATAAATCATGTATGGTGGCCCTTGGGGTATGGACAATCATGGGGCAAAATCATTCAACACCTGTGGACCTAGAGAGCAAGTTATCTGCTTCCAAAAGTCAATGGTAGGACAGGCAAAACAGTCATTCTCATTCCAAAAGGGAAAGCATACAAATAATCAGGAGTCATTGTTCCCACACACCTCAAGGCCATGGAGGAAAATTGCATTAGGTTTCAAAGCATCATATAATACTTTGTGGCTTGATGCTCTTCTCTCTGTACCCATCATCAGTCCTGGATCCTGGTCCCACAGAAGCTCTGCAATGATGCCAAGGGGCTTCTGTAAGACCCTTAGAAGCGTTCTCACCTTTTCTTGAAAGATAGTAAGTCTTCAGTCAAGCAGCTTTATAAGTCTATTTCCTATCTCGAAATTGTCTCATTTTAGTGCACCTCTGTCCCCTTTGATTCAAGTTGGCAATTTTGTGATCATATAACATTCTTAAAACCCTTACAGTTCTTCTGTGTATGTCAAAAGGGATAATTTTAACTAAATACAACTCTAAAGCCTCTACTTCCAAATAAAGCCACCCTCACAGGTTAGAACACAAACATTTCTTTTGGAGACACACAAAGTCAACCTATAACAAATGGTATGTAGTCTTTTTTTATTTTTTATTCATCATAATTATTTAACACTCATCCATATATTTATGTATTATTTATATAATATTATATGCATGTTCATATATTTACATATTAATGTTATATTAGTTTACTATTTAGTATTAATATCCTATATCAACATGTTGCATATTTTATTATTCTATACATTATTTTATATAAATATATCAATATATTTCTACATAAGTCAATAATTCACTCATTTCTATTACTGATAAGCACAACTTGTTTTTCCATTCACCCACCAATTATTCCCAGTTTAGGAAATTGCAAATAAGCTGCTATGAACATCAATGCACAAGTGTTCATACAGACACATGCCTTCATTTCTCTACCACAGAACAATTGCATCATAAGGTTGGTGTATGTCTAATACTCAGATGACTGTGAAAGTGTTTTCCAAAGTGGCTGACTGACTTTACACGCTATCAGTGGTGAAGAAAGCTCCAGTTACTCTATATCCTCACCCACACTTCAAACTTTAGACATGCTAACAGATATGTAGTGCCAGCAACTGCACAAAGAATGGTGTTACATTGTCTTTCCCAGATAAATTATGATGGTCAGTATCTTTTCATGTGTCTATTTGCTTTTTGTTTTTTATCTGTTTGGTAAAGTATTCAAATCCTGTGTACATTTTTATTGGTCAGTTTATACATTTATTGTTGAAACATTAAGAGTTCTTAATATATTCTAAAAATGTCTCATAAAATGTGAGCCTTACAAATCTATTCTCCCTTTGGTAATTTGTCTACAATTCTTTAACTTGCCTCAGAAGGAGCAGAAGTTCTTCATTTTTTAAATATTTATTTATTCTGAAAGTCAGAGTTACAGGGAGAGGGAGAGGGAGATCTTTGATCTGCTGTCTCACTCCCCAGATGGCCACATAAATCTACTGCAACTGTTCTCCATTTGGCTAGGAAAAGGTTAAAAAAAAAAAAAAAAGGAAAAAGGAAAGAAAACCACATGACAAAATAAGAGCAACCACATTCCCTAACAGAGATTTCCACCAAAAGTTCCACCACTCCAGGCGCAAATAGGTGATGGCATCTCCCTTGCCCTGACAAGTAGTCCTACTAACACACACCAGAGGCATAACAGCACCTCAGAATCAATCAGCAACCACATGAATATAAGAATACTCAAAGGGAGAGGGATGGTCAGTAAGCATCACGCAGAGACCTGTATATGTGCAATAGTCATCTGCGTGCACACTGACATTGGGTGGTGCAGATGGCAGGTCACTGTCCCCTTGCCTCCTTCAGAGCATGTGCCCCAGAGGTGTCTGATGCGCTCAACAATACAGTGAAACTGAACAGTTTACGCTTCTTAAAAAACGCTCAACTTCCCTGATTTTCAAGCACCCGCTGTTTGTGGCATTTGTTTAAAGGTTAGCTGTCTGGGATTTCTCCAGGGCTGATAACACCCTGGCACCACCAGGAACCTGGACTCCCACTTGTGCATTATTCTTACATGTTTTGATTGACATTGCTTTAGGCCTAGAGACTACTTAAAAGTGAAGAGCAAAATCACCTAAAATTACAATATTTCTTCATTTAGGTAAGTGTGTATGTGGAGTTTTAAGAAGAGTCCAGATGCTTGAAACTAGTTTATAGGGGAGTCTAAGTATTTGATGAATTTAACAACTCGTACGTTTCCAATAACTGAATCCCAGTTCTATTTGATAAGCTCCTTTTTCTTTTAGATATCGGGTCGTTAAGGACACCTTGGCCAGATCCTTCAATTTTTTCTGTCGCTTTTGGTAATGAAGCTTTATTTCAGTATGTTAGTACCTGATATCTGAAAAAGTTTGGTACAGCTTATTTCAGAAGTTAAAGTTCCCCAATCCTTTAAAAAGCTTGTCTTTACCCTCCCTCAGAGATAACCAGACCCACCTACCGCAACAATTGCTTTATGAGAGGGTTCTAATTTTTTTTTTTAAGGGAAAGGGTTTATTGGGGAACACCCTACAGACTAGAGTGAAGGGGCAGCGAAGGAAAAAGAGAAAGAGACTATAAGAGAGACACAGAGAGGAGAGGAGCTAGCAAGGAGAGGAGATAGAGCAGAGAAGAGGAGAGAGGAGAGCAGAGCCAAGAGAGAAGAACCAAGAGCCAAGAGAGCACGTGTTCAGGAACAGGCCCTTTTAAAACTTCACCTGAGGGTGGGCAGGGAAGCAGGAGCAGCGAATCCCAAGGGGGTGGAGCCTGGCTCAGGTAGCTGGGCCACGCGGCCACCTGGCTAAAACTGTGCCAGTTTCCTAACACTCCCCCCTTTTGTTTTTTATAAAGCAGGGTTTATATGGGATTACATTAGTCCAAAAAGTCCAGGAAGGGTAGAGGGACAATGATCTGTCTTTAGAGCTACTTCCTGTTGACACGGGGCAATGGGGTACTCTCCGTTGGCATGGGGCAATGTCTTAAGCCACTGTCTCCTGGTTGTGGAGTATATTCCCATAGCAGCATTTGGTTGACCACCTGGTTGCTGAAGGCCTTCGTTTGTTGCACTATAACTTGCTGTAAACACTTAGACACTGTAGTATAAAAGACAGGGTGAGAATGGTAACCAATGATCCTAAGAGTAGCATTAACCAGGTAATGAAAGGATTTCATAGAGGAGAGGAAGTGTAGGGGGGTCTCTGGACCCTTATGGGGACAGGATATGCTTTAAGCTGATCCCAGCCAAGACTGGGAGAAAAGCCACTTAACTTTTGCAGGTAGTGGGGTTGTCTGTAGAGAAATTCTGAACAATCATACGACATTAAGTGGGGAAGAGGACCATCAGTACACACAGGTTGGGAGTAGAGCCATTGGTGGTAGAGTAGAGGTTATGATTACAAAGGAAAGAGGCTCAAGTGGGCTAGATACAGAGGACAGAGTTGTTATTAGAGAACCTAAGGTGCTGTCTAAGCTACAACTAAGTTTTCTCATTGAGAGACAAATAGAACCTGACAGAGGGGCTTGGTAATAGTCAGGTGGGCTCTAAAGCCTTGTAAATTATGAGGCCCAGACTCATCTGTCTCTTCATATAGCCTACATCCTAAGGGAGGTGTGAACCTCCTTAGGGAAGGCACCCTGTTGACTTCCATTACCTAGCTGGCCTGGGAGGAGAGCTGGCCACGTAAAGGCAGGTGGCAACTCCAACAGGAAATATACAGTTCTGCCTGCAATGTTACTGACCCTATTTGGCCATCTCCTCAGCAGCAGTGGTCACCTTGGAAGCTGGGCTGAGTGAAGGGCTTTTCAGCTTAGAGCCAATAAGATCTGTGACTCTATATAGTCTTGTGATTAAGAGAGTGTGTATGAAGTGACTCAGGTGATTTCTGAGACCGAGTAATAAATGGCAACATAGTTTGCCTTTATTTGCTGGGATATGTGCCACCCACACAAGAAGTCTGAGCACTGGAGGCTGCCATGCTTGGAGGAAGCCAAGCCACATGATAAGGCCATATGCAGGTATTCCAGCTGGCAGCCCTAGTCTGTGGGGCTTCCCGGATCAGGTACCACACAAGTGAATAGATTAGCCTGTAAATTATTTCAGCCTCCAGGTATTGAGTCACCCATATGTGTCAAGTACTCCCAACTCAGGATCCAGCTCTATAGAACCCTTTTGAATTTCTGTCCCAAAGAACACATCAGCATAATAAAGTGTAGGTGTTTTTGCTATTAATTTAAGATGATTTATTATGTAATAATAATCACTGATATAACTTGGGTTCCTGAATATGAGTCTATCTTCTTCGTCATCAATGCCACTTATATATTTTAAGTAAAAATAACTTTCTCTGAAACTAACTAAAGTTTTTTAGAATGCCTCCTGAGTCATCACTCTAAGTAAAGTATATAATAAAATTCAAGAAGTCCCATGTCTTGATGTATATACAGGCATGATAACACAGTCACAGGGTGGACAGGGAAGCAGCCCACATTTATTTCTGTAGCACTGGTGTTAAGATTTCTACCTCTTGGCCAGCGCCATGGCTCACTAGGCTAATCCTCCACCTGTGGTGCCAGCACTCCGGGTTCTAGTCCTGGTTGGGGCGCCGGTTCTGTCCCGGTTGCTCCTCTCCCAGTCCAGCTCTCTGCTGTGGCCCGGGAAGGCAGTGGAGGATGGCCCAAGTG